GAAGCTATGTTACCCGTCGTGGACCACAGGCTTCACAATTCCTTTACCGTACAACTTTCCGCCGCGAAACTGGCACAGGGTTGTCCACTCCGGACCGCACTACCTTCCCACATAACCTCTTGCATTTTCATATGTCATCACGGACCGCTCCTTTAAAGTCTGCCGGCTGTTTTGGATTGTCATTTTTAGACGGATTCCTGTTATTATATCTAGTCTTACAAGAGAGTCCTCCATGTCATGGATCGCTTTTTAAATCAAAATCTTCGAATAATAGTGTATGGCTCAAATCTCCATATGACACAGATTTTGCAATCCTCTATTTTTGTTTTTATGATTTTCAGTGCGCTCGAAGCCTTTCACTTGTCCAGAAACCTCACTCTGTATTCAATACCAAAAACGTTTCTTATCGCCAAACTCCTCATGAAATCAGAGAACTTTTTCACCTCTGGGGACATTCCCAGAACGTCTACTCGGAAAACTATCTACTATAATTTTTGAGAAGGTTTACGCGCGTAATTCTCTCCTACAGCATGAAGCAAACGTTTCTGAGAAGCTGTAGATGACCTGGAAGCCCTTTTTGTTGACTGGGAACTTGGTAGAAATTCGATGCTGGTGTTTTTTCTTTTGCAGGAGATTCGCAATGAAAAATGTAGACCTTGACTCGCCAGGGACAGGACTTTTCGAAACTCATGTCACATGGGAGGATGTAGAAGAGGACATGAAGAACCAACTGGGTACCACAGCCTCGTTTGGACCAAACAAGACCGTTATAGACATGGGAGACGGCAAGGTACATGTCCACTGATTTCATATCATTTCAGAGTTGACCACGACATTGTATCCAGTAGATCACGAGCTCGCACAGTATCGTCTTATTTTTTTATGGAATTTCACTACTTGAACTACTCAATCTTGACCTCAGTTGAGATTGAGGCTCAGGAGTTAACAAATTAATAGTGAACTATTTCAGGAGAACACGCACTTTACAGCGACACCCTTTATCGGCGGAAACAGTGCTACAGTGGCTGTCCCTGTAAAAGGGAGGCCGTAAAGAGGCTTTGGTTGGAATGCTGCCAGGGCAGCCTTTTTCACCGTGCCGTCCTAAACTGAGTATGTGACAAGAGAATCGTAATTCGCCGCGCTGGTGAGCGTCGCGTGCGACGTCGCGCCCGCAAATGACGATGGTTCCAGGTAGTAGATGGCGACAACAGGCAATTCAGAACCGAAAATAGTCATGAATGTCTACGATGACGGGGTCTACATGAAGTCCGGTGCTCCAATCGACAGGTTAACACGAGTTAAGAAAACGCCGCGCCCATCGCCGCGCGCGGCGGAGCGGCAAATTACGATTCTCTTGCCCGTCTCCTCCTAAACCCTCCACAGTTAGTGGGAAAGACTGTCCTGGCTGCGCTCGAATCCATCCCCTCACACATCCTCACGTTAGGAATAGTGACTATATTCACACTGAAGTGATTGCTGTGATTCTTATTTTTAAGGGTTTCATGTCGAAACTTCTACTCATCAGACCCGACTGGCAGGACAACGACGGAGAGCTGCCTGAGAAGTTCATCCTGAAGGTTTGTTTTCGCTCAGATTAACTGACCTTGTTCAGACTAACATGTGCAGCAACTTAAAGGCTTGTCAAGCACTTGTGATTCCTATTTCCATTGATCAGCAAAGCTCATTTCTCAATAAAAGATATTCTGATAACTGACTTTGGTGGAAGTCGAAGGCGATTGCGCATTTTCTGTTCCTTACGGTTCTTCTTTGCGATTCGTAGGGTCATTTGCTTCATAGTCACGACATATACTCGAAATCCCTGTGGTGTGGTAGGCGTGGCTGCGTACTTCAACTAAACGTGGCGGTGGCTGTGCTTCTGGCGAGATTCTTTCATTTTGGGACTGTCGTAATCATGTCTTTGTCTAACAGAGAACAAGATGCCAGTTTTCCAATTGAAGTATACCTCGGGTGAACCCATTCTAAGCCGTGTTCAAACGCCACGCCTACTCCGTCCGAGGGACAAAGAGTGTACCATCGTTGAGGGGAGGCGTATTTGACCGCTGCATGGGAAGGGATCGCAATCGGAGGGTCAAAGAGCAACGCAATTTTATCGGCATCCCTGAGTTGTGAAGAGCGGAACTGGCGTCATAGAGAACGCGGACGTGTGAAGAATTTACGAAATAATAAGTCGATCAGCTAAAGGATGAATAGACATAAATTTGAATGTACTCAGATTACTAAGTACTGCAAATTGAAAAGGATTATAAGTTGGTTGTGGACCTTTCTGAGCTCTATAAACGTATCTGCTTGCGTGGACAAACAAAGTAGAAGTCACACCTTTCCACCAAGTCTGCGTGGAAGTATAATGTATGGCGCATCCACAGGTGAGATTAACAAGCGTTGAACGTGGTACTTGAGTTAGCTAGCTAGTGGTACAGAAGAAGAGGGTTTTCGCCACTCGGAATTTCCCCGAAAAACCCCATCGCAAATATCACACGAAATGCGTGATCTTCAGAAAAAAATGTGGTTATTAGCCATTTTCCTCTT